CCCCCCCCGCCTCTCACTGCTAGCCGAGGACACAACGGAAATCAGGCCGTCAAGTCCCACTAGCGATCAATAATTCCTCTGAAGACTTCGTTCATTCGCCGCGCCAAATCAATGTCCTTCTGCGTCACGCGGTTACCGGCGTCGTGTGTTGTAAGCTCCACATGGAGCTTGTTGTATGTGTTGGTCCAGCACGGGTGATGCCCCATCGCTTCGCACTCAGCAGCAGCGGCATTCATGAAAGTCATCGCCTGCCTGAAATCATGGAACGCAAAGTCACGGCAGATCATGTTGTCGTTGTTGTTGTCAGTGTGCCACCCTGGGGTGTCGTGCAGCGCCAATGTCAAAGCATGGCGAGAGAGCGGCGTTGCTCGTGCACATAACAATACAGACCGACGCATTCTTGCCGTATACTCACTCATATAAATATATATATTAATATATATATTTATACAACACAAGCCCAGAAAGACACGAAGGAATGTACAAGAGTGGCAGAGGGAATGGGGAAAACGCTAAATCGTCCGATACGCTTCCCACAGTATCTTATCTAGTCACCTTTAGAAAAAAAAAAATAGATTTTTTTTCATTCACATCTTATTGCACCTCTTTGCGCCGCGCAAGATTTAGTTTCATCTCAACCAGTTGTTTTTCATCGTCTTGTAAGTGCTGGAGCACGGCTTCCATCTGCCGCCTCTCAGCCTCAAGTTCTCCTGTGTGCTGATCCAAGTAATCCATGAGCGTCTGTACACTGCGGCCCTCTCCCGTGTCCATGCGAGTCAGCGACGGTGACAGCTACAACAACAGTGGAGCCTTCTCTTCCAACCTTCGCTCAGGTCAGTTATGAGATCAAGAAGATTTTCTTGTGTCTTGCAGCTAAAATGAAAAGGGAAAAGAAACAATTAGATTAATAGTAACGATAGAAACATTGCATTCATCCAAATGTAACCCAGAAAGGACATGAGCCACAACATATTTTGATCCCACGTAACAAAGCACGAGGATCCCCGGCAAGAGAAGGGCATTGTCAGAAGTAGAGCAAGATGGGGGGCGGGTAACCCATTCACGCCGCGAATCGCAGCACATTGAGAGAAATACCCAGCGAAACGTCCACCTCCATTCCCTGACTGATTGTCTCCACGATCAGGTTTCGCGCCTCACTTTCTACAGACTCCACGGGAATTGTCACGTCGGAACCGACGTCCAGCACCCCAACTGGCACCTCAACGATCAAACCGACGGCACCCTTCTTCTGGGCCGCGACAGCTTTGACAGTCACAGCGCAGTCACCCTTCGGAGACAAGATGACGGCGCCCCGCCATTGTGTTGTGTTGGTGGTGTTGGAAGCGTCAGGGCACAAATCCCTGTTCTGCACAACAACAATATTCCCCCGGTAGTCCCTGCCGCACCACTTCGTGGGGCCGACGAAGAGAGTTTCCCCCCTGATATCCATCCCTGCGAGGTAAGCGGGGCGGTGGATCGTCAACGCGGTAACATCGCTGGCGATCCAGAAGATGAGCGAAAGGGCAACGAGCTCCAGTCCAACAAGACGTCTCATGGCTTCCCTTCTTGTCATCATATACGATCGTTTGCCGTGGAAAAAGACTGTTCGATTCCACAACAGCATTTCGCAAGAATGGGAAACAGAAAGACATTAGATATAAACCAATACAAAGCTTGAACAAAATCAGCAAAAAAATCACCGATAACCACCACGCCCAAGCATAGTTGAACAATCACCATGCTCACTCCTGTTTCTTTTTGCTAGGCGCCAACTGAAGGGTGGTCATGACAGCAATAAGGAGCAGCGCACGGTCTTATTGAGAAGCGAAAGGAACACACACACACAAAAAAAAAGGAAATACTTTTCACGAGCACCACAGCAAAAAAAAACAGAAGAAATCACAAGCACACGCAGTGTCACAGTAGGTTCACATATGAGGCACCATATGAGACACTACAGGTGCTGCTCGCCCTCTGCTTCTTCGCGCGACATAAAACCACACATTATGTTTGCTTACGAACAAATATATATATATATATATATATAAACTCGGATAGCAAATATTAACAGCACTATAACAGCCTTCAGAAACTGAACAGCAAGAAAGCACCGCAAACAGGAACAGCAGGTCAACATGTCATGTCCTGCCTTCCACATTTTCTTCTTTCAAGCTATCAAAACATTTCTCACTTCTTCCCTATGTTTATCAGACGCTCTTCTTCTGCTTGATCTTGCAGAGATTGCCCCACATGAAATGTGACTCGTCAATCACCTTCATTGCGAACGCATTGTCTTTGAACTCGCCGTCAAAGACAAACTTATTCTCCACGCCGCCCTGGCAAATCTTATACACACGGAACCACTCGCGGATGGCGTCCAGGCACCCCGGTAGGAACTTAGGCACATCATGAATGTTCTTCACGAAACGACAGATGGGGTCGTTACGAGAAATGCAGATCACCTTCCAGTCCATCTGTCCATCATCAATCATCCCAAGTACCCCAAGCACCCTCACTGCACCCACTTGTCCAACTCTGAACTGCGTCATACCGATCTCAACCGCATCGATCGGGTCGTTATCGCCAGTAACGTTGCCCTCAAAGACGACTTCCGTGCTTTCCCAGGTCTGCGGCAGCGCACCATAGTTCCACATCATGTCACCGTGCTTGTAGAAACGCGGGACACCATTCTTGACGTCCTGCTTGATAGGATTGAACGGCTCCCCCGTTGCGATCTCAAACTTCGCCCGCGTCCACTTTGGGATCTCACAAATAAAATTGTAGCGATTCATGGGCTCCGATTCCGGCTTTGTGCGCACTAGGTCGCGCACGTAAAGCGGGATGTCGTGCCACGGAGATACCTGCCGCTCCTGTCCCGTCTCCATGTCCTTAAAGTAGTACAGGACCCGATAGCTCGGCGTATAGAGCTCACCCTCCTCCTTCGTCATGAGCTGCTGCTGGTGGTATGGCACAGAGAAGTGCGCAGAGACCATCGAAAAGCACTCCTTTCGCGAGCACTCAGGGTGTGAGCGCCACCATGTCCACAACTTCTCAAATGTAACGTGGCCGTCAATGGCATTAATCTCCTTCATCATCTGTTTCACATCCTCCGTGTTCATGTCACGGCCCAGATACTTGCACATCTGCTCAATCTTACTGTTCTCCAGATAGCCCAACTGTGTCACATCGAATGCAGAGAACATGCGGCTCATGATGTTTTTCTCCATCGAGAGGGTGAAGTCGTCCTTGTCGTATGCGGCGAGATCGAATTCAGTAACATGCCGCTGCCATGCCTCCGGCAGCGGCTTGACCGTCTCCACACAGCCTTCAATTCCGGTGCCAAGATGGCTGGAGACGCCGTGCACGGGCTTCAGTTCCGCCATTGTGTTGGGAGAAAGGAGGGGGTCTTCCTCCTTATCTTCCGCTTTTTCATAAGTTTTCCACATTGTGGCACTGATTTCCAGAAGTAAAAAAAAAAAAAAAACAGAGTCAAGGGGAAACAATAATATTAGTAAGCAACGCCTATATGGCACCCGCTTCGGATATCCTTTAAATATGCGCAGCAACTCTTTATACTGTCTGCTTCGCTATACTCAGCGCTGCCTTCATGCGTGAAAGGGCCCGCCTCCGCGCCTCCACCTCGTTCGCCAGATAAACGCGCAACGCCACACGTACAGTCTGTGCTGTTTTACTACGAATACCCTTCTGTAGCTCCACAATTGGAAGCGACAATGCTTCCAGTTTTTCGTGTACTTTGGATATATCCGCTGTAGTTGAACAATCACGAGCCGTACAGGCCTCTGCAACCAATTGCATGTACTGCTGCCGAATAGCACCTATGAGTTCGATCAGGTCTGTTGTTGATGCCGAGGCCAGATACTGTCCCTGTTCCACTTCAATATGCACACCGAAGTCACGCGGTGCTGGACAGTCCATGATGCTTAGGGCGGTGATTCGCCGAAGCGCCTCTGGCAGCACCGCCACCTCTTCCGACCCTGTCATGCCACGACTTTATGACGCCCAAGAACTTTTCAGGACTATCAACAACCAAGAGGACAAAAAGAAGACAGACCCAAGTGAAGTCCAGGCATCCTCATCCTAAAGCCGTTTCACACCACTGAAGGAGACAGATAGCCGGTAACACGCGCATTAAAACCAAACAAGCGAACACACACACACACACACACACACGACAAGCACACGCGTACGGCACGTGCCCTCCTCCCTCAGCCTATCGCCCCTTCACGAGCCACTTCAAGTGCTGCAACGCAGTCAAATTGGATCGCCCTTCACGATTCTTCGCTAGACGCTCCCGTATAATATCGAGAGTCTGCATCTTCGCGATGCCCCTGTTCCCCGCAAGGCACAAAACCTTGACGTGCCTGTTGTACTTGACCGCTTTTTTCAGAGCGTCGGCGCCACTGTCGGTGATATTGTTGAAGGAAAGATCAATGTGCTCTAACACGCACATGTGGTGGGCAGAGCGGCGCTTGCGCAGAATGAACGCAAGGGCGTCGGCATCGCGGTCCCCTAGGCAGCAGTGGCGGCACACGAGCTCCCTGATTCTAAAGTGACCGAGCCCCGGCACCCACAGCAGCGGCGCAATGTACGCGAGGGCGAGGCTGCGCAGCGCCAGCGCGTCAAGTCGCTCCCGCTTCATCGTGCCACGCCTGCGCCCTTCATCGGGGAAAAACACAATGTTTGTGGCGGGTTGTGGGTGTTGGTTGTCATCCGCGCCGAAGCGGAGCGGGGGCCCGTCAACGCCGACGGCTCCCAGCACTGTGTGGCTCAAATCAATGCTGGCGATGCAGCCGATGCTCTCACGTTCCGGGCTCGTGCGGACCGACAGCACGACCGAGAGAATCTGCACCATCAGCTGCGGGGATGCCACGTGGGACGCATTGCAGTGCGTTCCGACGAGGCGCAAGGCGACAGCGTCCTCTACACAGGGTACCACAGACGATAAACTACACCGGTGCTCCGGCTGGCCAACGAGCGCCTTCAGCAGATTCTGCTTGGTGTCCTCCTTCGCGTCCTCGTCAAGGAGAACGTCCACCCGTTTCGTGGGGGAAGTAACGGCGTCTTCGGTGCTGTCGCCACCACGAATCACATAGTGCGTGCGAACTTCTTGCAGAGGCACCGGCTGTCGGAAGTAAGCTGGTGGCACAAGGCAATCGATGCCATCGCGGCCACTCCCCGTCGCTCTCAGACTATACTCCGACGTCTCACTGCTCCCATCACGCCTCACCCTCTCAGGCATGACACCATCAAACCGGAGCGGGCCTCCCCACCTTTGGGTTGAGAACTGGACTGATATGGGCCGCCGCACCCCAGGCCCCTAATTTCGCCTCGCGATGAAAGAGAGAGAGAGAGAGAGAGAGAGAGAGAGAGATGGAGTGAAAAGAGTGACGGGTCAGAGTGTCCGCTGTGACCCAAAGGCATGTGGGTCGGCAAGAGCAGCAACACCAAGAGAAACGGCTCGCCATTCACCAGCTCGGCACATGCGCCCCGTCGCTGGGCTCCTTTGCCTAGTCGTCTCCCCCCAGTGCATTCGCCCTCCGCAGCTCCTCCTGGGCACTGCTGGAGGCGAAGCTGTCTGCGACCAGCAGTCCCTCCACCTGCTCCATCTGCCCGCGCACAAATGGCAGCTCCACCGCGTGGCACACCTGCTGCACAGTGCGGCCTGAAGAGGGTGGGTAAAGCAGCACAACGTGCCCCTCCGCACCCATCCGGCCAGTGCGCCCCGAACAGTGCACAAACGCCGCAGCAGGCGGGCACTCACCGTACAAGATGACGTGTGTGATGCCACTCACATGAATGCCTCGGCTCAGCTCATGGCTCCCCACGCCCACCAGAAGGGCGCCGCTGTTGAGCTTGCCCAGGGAGCTGTCATCTTTCACGTACACGTCGCGCTGCCCAGGGACAATTGGCCGCCGGCTGCCTGTGGGGTCCAACAGTGACTGCAGTGGCGCTGCAACCTCCCTACCAGCCCCCCTCCGAAGCCACTGCTGCACCTCTGGGGAGCGCTGCTGCAGCTCGCCAAGCAGACCAGCAACATCCGCAACGGCTTCAGGATCCGTGAAGACAAGAATGCGCGGGCGCCTTTCCTGCTTGCAGATCAGCCGCACGATGAGTTCCAAGGAGTGCGACAGCGTGTACCGCTGGGATTCGGCGAAGAAATAAAAGTTTATCGTCTGTGGAATAGTGTGCTCCACAAAACTTGTTGTCAGACGAACCGCCTTGTCGTTGCGCATCCACGTATTGAGGGCCTGCGCAGTGCGTCCATCGATGGTTGCGCTCGCGGCGACCAACTGCGCTGGGACCTCCTCGCGTCTACTCCGGAACAATCGGTCGACCAGGTTGATCCCGCTGATGGTGTGTCGCCCGAACTTAACTTCAGATGAGAGGACGATGTCAGCCTCATCAAGAATGACGCAGTCCACCTTGCGGCGTAGCTTCTCACCGAGGACGGTGGGGCTCAGGCGGAGGATGTCCGCGATGCGTTGGGGGGTTCCCACCAGTACGTGTGGCTGGATGTTGTGTATTTTCGCCAGCTGCGTCTCGAGTGGTACCCTTTCAATCGCCGCCTGCACCACCTGCGAGGTGGAACCGCCGAAGTGGCGAAGCCACTTGTCGTACTGCAACGCAAGCTCCTCCGTCGGGACAATGATGACGGTGTGGAGGCGATAGTTAATATTTTCCCGAATGATCCGGTTGGCGCATGCGAGCGCAATGCCAAAACTTTTCCCTGTCCCTGTCTCCGCGTGGGCGATGACATGCTTACCCTTCAGCAGAAGGGGAATCAACGCTCCCTGCAGTTCCGTGAGGCGCTGAATTCGCAGTTTCTTCAGAGCCACGACGAGGGAGACACACAACCCCGCCCCTCGCGGTGCCGTCTGCGAGTAGAATAAAGGATGTGCCTCGTTGCGGTTTGCAATGTTCCCTGTCGCGGACGTCAACATCTGGGCGGAGCCAAGACGCAGCTGTATCATCTGGTGTTTCTGCGAAGTCCCCGGGCCGTCTTGTTCCTTCTGCGCATAGAAGTACTTCTGTGATGCCGGCAAGTTGGCCGCGTGCGCCTCTCCGCCCTGCTGCAGGTAGTTGTCCAACAGAGAAGCCACCGAGCCCCCGTAAGAGGCCTTCGCGGCACGCAAGTACTTCAACCGGCATACACTACAGGGCCTCATGTCCGCGCCTCTCTCTCCATGCAGAGCGCCGCAACCACGCGTAGTGCAGAAAGAGTGAATAAACAGAGCAACGCATACAAATCCGTTGATACACAGGGAGGAAACTGCGACGCGTGGAACTCTTGTGTCACAGAGCAGACCGTCGGCCGCGGAATGGTGCAACACACCAAAAGAATTAGTCAAGCAAAAACCATTAAAAGGCAAAATACCACCGCCTCATGAGCACAAACCGATCACATAAACAGGACGGGAAGGGCCACATTCTCTTACACCTTCAAACGACAGAGCAAAACAAGGCATGCCCTAGTGAGTGGAAACAGAATATTTGTTCTGCGTTGTCGCCTCTGTAGATTATTTTTTTTTGTTGCTGCAGCCGATGACAAACACAAAACAGCACAATCAGACCACTTCACGCAAAATTTTTACTCTTCTCTGAGCTCGCAAAACCAATTAATCGGGCATTCCCCCATTCCGAACCTTTTCCCCTGGGCCCTGCTACAAGGCTCCTGACCAGGCAGAATAGTGCGAAAAGTCAATTGGCCTCAATAAAAAAGTTAGACGACATTTGGACACACATCCTTTCCAGACGCCCACACAAGTTCGCAGCTCAATGGGAGAGCGGGAAACGGAGAAAAAAGAAGAGGGGGAGAGTATATTCCGGTGGAGATGGAGGAAGCGCGGTCGCGAAGGACCATGGTTGTTTGACTGGCATCAGGGGAACAACAGAACCTGTGTCCAGACCAACACCAACAGCAGCCGAAGCGCACGCACCCACGCAGAGCAACCACTGCCCTCGGCGTTTCCCCCGCCAGGCTTCCCGTCGCTCACAGTGGCGTTGGACGCGGACGCAGAGAAGGCAGTCATCTCGTCTGGCGAAGCGGTCTGTTTAGCACCAGTAATGGACGGTTCTCCACTCACAGGTTCATTTTTCCCGCCTTGGACGCATGGGAGGAAAGAACAAAAGCCGGGACGGCATTCACTACTCCCTCCTCTGGCAGCAGTTCGTGGCAGCCACTTTTTCCGCTTCGCAGCTTATGCAGCCACCTTCGGCACTAATCCCATGCCGTTAGGAAACAGCTTAAACGCATCACCGGAGTTTTCCTTCGCATCTTCCACAGTCATCCTTGACTATAAAACCCATTTCGACGCATAATACACATCCTTCAGTTTGAGCTCTGCGAAGCTCACCGTTTAGAGAGCATTCGAAACCACTTGTTAAACATCATCCACGGTATTCTTATTACTCATCATTCTCCACCACAGGCCTCACAAGGTGTTGGACGAACCTTGCCCTTTCCTTGGGGATGACGGATGACCTCTTGGCACCATTGTCTCGAGCCGTTGCAGTACCGGCGTCCACCTTTGCCCTCATGGCTACGCTACCACGGACTTCCGAAGGGGACGCATTTGCGAACCCCTCTGCCAATGTCAATTCAAGGATGGCACCATGAGTATTTCATCCAAACTCCTCCGCCTTCACAGCTTCCTTGGATGCTCAGCACGCCAATATTGTTAGTGTTCTGCACACATATTTCATGGATTCATTAATCCCAGCTTTGGCCTTCCACGGAGCTTTGTTGCCGCAAACATTCACAGCCGAATCAGCCTTTCCACCGTCAGCCACAGTGCTACGAACATGCGTGGTCTTCTTCTTGACAGTCGTCGCACACAAGCACATGCGGCGAACCGCGAGAGCCAACAAGATCCACACGTAGCGCATTATTGTAGATCAAATCAAAACATTTTAAGTTGCTGCCTTCGTCACGAGAAGAAAAGAAACCGGGACAAATAGCCGGTAACACGCGCATTAAAACCAAACAAGCGAACACACACACACACACACACGACAAGCACACGCGTACGGCACGTGCCCTCCTCCCTCAGCCTATCGCCCCTTCACGAGCCACTTCAAGTG